ATCCTCACCAAGGATATTTTTCCCGTTGATCTTAGAGAGAGTGAAGGGGATCAGGAGAAAAAGAGAAAGAGAGAAAGAAAGAGAGAGAATCATCTATGTGAGAGACACAGAGTGACTGGTTGCCTCCTGCATGCGCCCCGACTGTGGCTAGGGGTCAAACATGAACCTGAGGTACGTGCCCTTGACCACATAACGAACCTGAGACCCTTTGGTCCATGAACAGACGCTCAAACCACTGAGGAAACCGGCCAGGGCCATCACACTCTACCTGTGAGGAAACTGAGCTCCGGGCGGGTAAGAAACGTGCCTGAGGCTCTCCGCCTAGTATCCGGCACAGCCCCAAGATGGGGACTGGGTCCTGCAGAGGCCGCGGAATGCAGCGGAGACCGGTGTTCCCTGGGCCTCGGGTCCAGCCTCGGGTCTGCCACTAACTGGTCTTGTGTGTCCAGGCCTCACTCCTCTCTGCGTTTGAATGGCCCAATCACAGGACCTGTGCCGTCAGGTTCTTGTGCGGGTAGAAGGGCATGAGGCATAAGAAGAGCTTGGCAGAGGCCCTGGCACAGGGAGTTCCAGGAAATGGTAGTGGTGAATGTTAGTTTGGTTCTCCATCTATTAGAGATAAATCTACCTACAGCTACTAGGACAGTGAGCAGTATCAGCTTAAACATGTGGGTTATTTTTCTCGCACAGCAAGGAGCTTGAAGGCTGGCAAGTCACCGCAGCCAACAGCCAAATGGCACCAGCAAGGGCCACTTGCCTTTCGCTCGTTCCGGTCTCCAGAGCGTTTTGATTTGCCGCTTCATGGCTGCACGGTGGCTGCTGCACGCCGTCTACCATGGCTGGGGGCGGGTGCAGTACCAGGGACTCCCCCTTCTGTAAAGAAAGCAAAAGCTACCCCAGAGCCCCGCTTCCAACCACAGCAGGCTTCTGCTTTTGTCTCGCTGGCCTGGACCAGGTCTCCTGACCATTTATAGCTGCAGGACTTGGGCCGTGAACATTGAACTTTTCAGATTTGATCGGATAAGTGGCGAGGAAGAAGGTGGCTGAACGTGGGGTAGGCTGAGCCCGTTGTGTTTGCCTCAGTTCTTCCTGCGTCTTGGGTCGTCAGGTTAGAGGGCTTAGTTAATCTTGGTCACCTGTTCGTGCACATGCACAGCAAAGCCCTTTTGTTTTCACAAAATATGTGGTTCCATGTGCATCTGTTTTTCTTAACCTTTTAATTAAACTATAGCATGCGCAGACACACACACACACACACACACACACACACACACACACTCTGAGGTGTTTCTAGATGGCTCAGTAGAGTTTTCCTATTTATCCTCTTGCAAGCACCACTCTGGCTACTCTTTGGAACCCTCCCAGCACCCAGAAATCTCTCTCTTCCGCCTGCCAGTACTGCTGCCCAAACGGAACCACTCCTCTGCTCTCTCCCAGCTCTGGTTTGCCTGTTCTTTGCCTCCATCTAAATGGAATTGTGCATTTGTACGTACCGTAGTTCCTCCCTCCCCACCCCATTATCCATGGGACGCATGCCCCAGGACCCCCGGTGAATGCCTGAAAGCAGGGCCAGCTCTGGACCCGACACATGCTGTTTTTCCTGGACACACACTTAACGGACACCCTTCCCGGCTTCTCTCAGGCATGTCTGAGTTGCCAGCAGCACTCCTCGTGTGCTTTGGGGCCATTAGGAAGTAAAGTAAGAATGACGAACGGAAGCACTGTGATGCCCAGACAGTTGATCTGATCATGGAGAAGGCTCCCACGTGACTAACGGGCAGGGAGCATATAATCATGTGGATGTGCTGGACAAAGCGGTGATTCATATCCCAGGCATGACCCGGGGGGAAGGCGTGAGATTTCATCAAGCTGCTTAGTGGCATGCAAGTTACAACTTATAAGTTGTTTATGGAATTTTCAGTTTAACGTTTCTGGCTCCTGGTTGATTGCAGGTCACTGAAGCTGCGGGGAGTGAAAGCGGGGGGCCGGGGAGACAGCTGTGTGGCTCCGTTCACTCACCGTGAGAGTCACTGTCCTTGCAGGAAGCGGGGCTGCATTCGCCAGGGGTCCCCTTCCTCTCCGTGCTCTGTCTGTCTGTACAGGCCTGGGAGGAGCAGGCTCTGGGGAGCCAGCCCTTCCTGCTCACGGAGCATCTTTGCCTCAGAAAGCCCAGGCTGGCCTGGCCCTGCTCCCCCAGCGCCACTTCCACTTTAAAAGGAATCTTCTGGGGACTCGTGCGTTTGCCTTGGACGCTGTCAGCATATATTCTTGAGTACTTCTTCGTTTGGAGAGGGTGGGAGGAGAGAATAAGAGGGATGGGTTTTGGAAGGACGTTTTATTGATTTTGTACAGAGAGGAAGGGAGAGAGATAGAAAGTTAGAAACACCGATGAGAGAGAGTCATCGATCAGCTGCCTCTTGCACAACCCCTACTGGGGATGTGCCTGCAACCAAGGTACATGCCCTTGACCGGAATCGAACCCGGGACCTTTCAGTCCCCAAACCAACGCTCTATCCACTGAGCCACACCGGTCTCTGGAAGGACGTTTTTAGGCAAAGGGCATAAAAAGCAACTGAAAGCGTCACTAGGAACCTGGAAGCAGCGTTCCCCACAGAGGCCTATGTGTCTTTGGTTCCCAGCCCTTCTTCTAGTCTCTGCAGCGCTCAGGGACTCAACTCACAGCAGCTCTGGCTCTCCTGGGGCAGGGAAACTGGTTTGAATTCGGGTTCTGAGAAGCCTTCCTCCTGCAAGGCTGGCTGGGTGTTCCCTCTCAAAGCCAGTGTGGTTTTCCTCTTAGAACGTTCCACCCAGGACACACTTAAGAACAAGAATAAAGCTGGTGCTTTTCAATGGAGTCTTATTGAAGATGAAAGGGACTAGCTATTCCTGCAAGTACTGGCTTGCCGATAAGTCAGGGATCACGTAGAAAAATTGAAACTATGCAGTTTGCTCTCGTGGCTGGGGGTTGCCTTCTCTTGAGGTATCTGCTGGTCCCGGGCCTGTGTCTGCTGGGACAGTGCGCTGAAATCTCCGGCAGAGGCCTATGGGACGTTCTGTGCGTGGCAGCTACAGCACGTGCAGAGTGATTGGCTTGGCAAGCTGGCCCATCCTGGACGCTTCCATTTAGTCCCGCATCCTTACATGCTGTGTCTGTGGTCATGTGGCATCAAGTGAAAGAACAGCCTAACCCATTGCCTCTAACATGGATGGCCAACCTTGTATTTAGCAATATTTATTGCTAACAAATTTGTGATATTTTATTAAGTTTGTTGAGCAATTTATGTAGCCCTACCCCTTACTGGGGATTTTACATATATTATTTCAATTATTCCCCATAGGAACTGGGGACATACATAGAATTATTTGCAGTTTGCAAGTGAATAAATTAAAGATTAGAGAATTTAACTAACCTGCTAGTGAGAAACAGGTTTAAGAAATAGGGTTGTGCCCTAACCAGTTTGGCTTAGTGGATAAAGCATGGGCCTTGGGACTGAAGGGTCCCAGGTTCAATTCCGGTCAAGGGAATGAGCCTTGGTTGCGGGCACATCCCCAGTGGGGAGTGTTCCAGAGGCAGCTGATCAAAGTTTCTCTCATCGATGCTTCTAACTCTCTATCCCTCTCCCTTCTTCTCTGTAAAAAAATAAATTAAATTTAAAAAAAGAAGTAGGGTTGCAACTCAACACCTGTTCTCTTAGATTCCAATGGCCATGTCCCTGGAACTTATGCAAACTAATTGTTGAAAATAGCCACTGGCCTTTCTGACATGCTTATCCTTTCATCGGCCCATGCTTCCTAGTCACTCACCCAAGACATATCTTCAGTGTTTATCCAACAAGGGACTGGTTTTTGGACAGCTAAAAGCTGCAAATACCTTGCCACATATTTTAATTTTAGCTAATTGGTGAAGCTTCACTGTAACACAATTATATTTTATTAAGGAAATGCTTTAAAATATTTAAAACACTCGGATAGATAATGAGGAGACATTGGTTTCAGTCCTAATGTCACCATTAATCAAAACAAGTCACAAGCCCTCAGCTCCTCTTGTCTGTGAAGTGAGGAGGTGAAGTGTGTGGCTGTGAATGTCCCTACCTGTTGTAGAAGCATGGCTTCAACAGTGTGTGTGTGTGTGTGTGTGTGTGTGTGTGTGTGTGTGAGTGTGTGAGTGTGTGTGTGTGTGTGTGATTCTAAAACAGCTTCCTAGTACAAATATTTATTTATTATTTTTCAGTTACAGTTGACATTCAATTATATATTAACTTCAGCTGTACAGCCTGTACAGCATAGTGGTTAGATATTTATATAACTTACAAAGAGATTCCCCCAATAAGCCTTGCACCCACCTGACAGCATGTAGTTATTAGAATATTATTGACTATATTCCCTCAGCTGTACTTTACATCCCCATAACTATTTTGTAACTGCCAATTTGTACTTCTTAATCTCTTCACCTTTTCATCCAGTTCTCAACCTCACTCCCATCTGGCAACCATCAGTTTGTTCTCTGTGTCTATGAGTTTGCTCCTCTCTTGCTAGTTTATTAAACAAACATTTCTTAAAGGAGCCTTAAATGTAAGTCGAAAGAAGTGGATAACATTGGGCTTTCAAAAAAAAAATTTTTTTTTAATGCAAGTTCTTTACTCTTCCAAGCAAAGCTACATTTTTCATTGTATTTCCCAGTTTGTCATTCCCACCAAAAGAAAAGCAGGTTCTTAAATAATGCATATTGGAGCTTAGATTCCATGAGGGTCTGGCAAGTTTTAATCTTGGATAAGATGATGTAAAATATTGCCAATAGCCAACCTTAGGTTGCCAATCCAAATATAAATCCTTACTTGTTCAATATATGAATTTATAATGTGAACTGTTTTAAATTACCATACACCTTAATTCTATTGAATAGAATTAAGACACTGTTGAGCAACTCTAAAAATAAGACTAATGCGATATTATGGTCTAATTAGTTAAGAATGTGCTATACTTTTACTACATCGTTTTAGACCCAACAAAGAGAAAACTGGCCATGTGAGTGACTCAGGATCATCTGTCATCAAGCATGGGCTCAATCCGGAGAAGGTCTTCATGCAGGTGCATTATTTAAAGGTAAGCACATCTAAGAGTCAGAAGCCAGTGACTATGGTATGGCACTTTTTAGATTATACACATAAACAGTGAAGATCAATAACATGGTTGAGCTAAACAAAACAATGATCAATATTATGATGATATTTGACTGGGTAGGTAACTGTCTAATAATTAAAACACTTTATACCCAAAAATGAGGCACGAATCAAAGGAAGCTGAACTGTTTCCTGCCCTGTAGCTCCCTTCTCCCTGCTTCACATCAGCTTTGAAGAGCAGAATCTTCAAATTGTTGTCAGGTTCCAAGTGGAAGATAGGCGCAAGAAGGAAGCATTTTAAGTTGAAAGGCCTTTCCCGATCGCCGAGGGAGAAAGGAGCCAGGACCCGGCCCCTCTGGTTTGAGGCGTGTGTGTCCAGGCTACCTGTAACCCAAGGGGAATACCCAGATGAATTGAAAGCAAAGTAGTCGATCCTTAATTTCTAGAAAGACACATATCACATGATCTCACTTATATGTGGAATCTAATGAACAGAATTAACTGATGAACAAAATAGACCCAGAGACATGGAAGCATGCATAGACTGATGCATTTCAGAGGGAAGGGGAGGATGGGGGTGGAGTGTGAGTAGCAAGAGGTTTACCATAGAACTTACATGCATATGTGCATGACCCGTGGACACAGACAACAGTGCTTTGAAGGCCTGGGGAGGGAATGAGAGCCAGGTGGAGGGGGTCAATGAGGGGAAAAAGGGGGACATCTGTAATGCTTTCAACAATAAAGATAAAGTTAAAATAAAGAATATAAAGGGCAGCCTGGAACACATCACATGGCACATTCTAGATGTGCATAAAGAGCTGGGGGTACACTAGGGCTGACTGTGTAAGAATTTTTCTGATTAATTCATGATAGGATCTTTTTTCTCCTACTTCCTGTCTTCCAGGGCTATTTTCTTCTCCGGTTCCTTGCCAAAAGACTTGGAGATGACACCTATTTTTCCTTTTTAAGAAAATTTGTGCACACATTTCATGGGCAGCTGATTCTTTCCCAGGTAATATATGAGTCCTTGTGAGTCCGTGAAGGTATGGCATCTGGGGACCAGAGCCATGGTTGGCAAATTGTGGCTCAAAAGCCACATGATGCTCTTTGGCCCCAGAGTGTGGCTCTTACACAAAATACCATGGCCTGGGCGAGTCTATTTTGAAGAAGTGGTGTTAGAAGAAGTTTAAATTTAAAAAATGTGGCTCTCAAAAGAAATTTCAATCGTTATACTTGTTGATATTTGGCTCTGTTGACTAATGAATTTGCCAACCACCGCTGGACTAGAGTATGTATTAGAAAGTGGGGAAAAGATTTATGATTTAATACAATAGGAAGTTAATGAATTAGACATAGGAAAGTGTTGTTTTAGGGAGGGATCTCCCTAGAGTTTTGGGACCATCTGAGACCCAAAGCTGTCCTGAGCAGGGATGTGGATAGTTGAATCTTATGTGACCTTAAAAACAAAAGCAAACAAAGCAGCCCTGCTGTTCTTCCACCTGCAGTGATCTTCGCAAGATTGGCTCCTTTTTATCCTTTTGTCTCAGCTCAAATGCCACACACTCAGAGTGACCTCAGCTAAACAGATCTGCATCCGCCCTGCTAATCTCTATCCTTTACCTTTTTCATTGCCTTCATTGTCATTGCCATTAATTATCATTATATTAGAGATCCAGTGCACGAATTTGTGCATGGGTGGAGTCCGTCGGCCTAGCCAGCAATTCAGGGTCGTTTTGGGCCATGGGGGGTTGCCTGGAAGGGGCAGGGGCCATGGGAGGTTGACCAGCTGGCTGAGGAGGGGGGTCACAGGAAGTTGGCTGGCTGCCTCGATCAGGGTCATGCTCAACCTGCTCATCTACCACTTTCAGAACAAGGAGGTGAGGTGTGCCTTCAAAGAAGAGGGACCTATACTCCATGACCTCTCCAGTGATTCCAAAACTTTATCTAGTCCCCTGCTGGGCACTCCTGCCCGGAGGGGTCTTTTGTGCTTCAGTATGGAGGAGGATCTTTCTGATCCTCTTCTGGTGATTACCTGTTTTTGTTTTAATATATTTTTATTGATTTCAGAGAGGAAAGGAGAGAGAGCAAAAGATAGAAACATTAATGGTGAGAGAGAATCATCAGTTGTCTGCCTCCTATACACCCTACACTGGGATTCAGCCCACAATCCAGGCATATGCTTGGACTGGGAATCAAACCTCGATCTCCTGGTTCATAGGTTGACACTCAACCACTGAGCCATGCTGGTTGGGCTGATTCCCTATTTTGAAAATGGCACCAACATCCTTAATGGCTGTCTTGAATTCAGCCATCCTTCAGGCTTATTTTTTTTTTTTTAGTTTTTTTATTCCTTCTTTCTATCGATATTCATGATCTTGTGTGTGTGCACGTGCGGGGGCCTGATGTGGTGGGGCCAAACATGATGGGGATCTCTCTTTTCTGCATCTGGCACAGAGAGATGAACTAACAGGTTCTAAGTGGAGGTGGCCATGGATTTAGAAAGAAAGGAAGGAAGAAAGGAAGGAAGGAAGGAAGGAAGGAAGGAAGGAAGGAAGGAAGGAAGGAAGGAAGGAGGAAAGGAGGGAAGGAGGGAAGGAGGGAAGGAGGGAAGGAGGGAAGGAGGGAAGGAGGGAAGGAGGGAAGGAGGGAAGGAGGGAAGGAGGGAAGAGGGGAAGGGGAAGGGGAAGGGGAAGAGGGAAAGAAAAGAAAGAAGTCACAGAGATAGATTTAAAGCTGGGAGTTGGGTGGCACCCATCCTCTCTGATAGAGAGGCAGCATGACAGTGACTAAGCCCACCAGCACATTTATTTTATACACCCAATACCAGGAAGTAACACCAAAACTTAGGATCAAAGGAGCTTATTTGTATTCTTGAGTAGGCCAGAGCAATCCTGTTGCTTGTCTGGATTAACATATCTAGACCTGCCCTTACCTAGGCTGATATGAAGGCCAAGCTGATTACATTTTCCACCATCTTGGGGAAATGTGTATCCTAGACGTTGCTCTGCCAATCGACTTGGACTCAGCTGTCAACAATTAAAAGAAATGCCCTTGTGCCTTCCTAGGAGGCCCCCTGTGTGTGTGTGTGTGTGTGTGTGTGTGTGCATGTGCCTCTTGTCTTTTATTATTTCTTCTTTGCCTCTTTTTTTCCTTTTTATTCTTTTTTTTTTCTATGTTGTTTTTGTTTGTGGTGGTGGGTTGATTTTTTTTCTTCCAAGTTGTTTTTGTTTTGTTTTGTATTGTTCTGTCAGTGCCTGTGCAACAGTTTGCATGACATGGTTGGGGTTGAGTCTCACAGGCAGCCAGCCCAAGAGCCGAGCCTACCTACAAATGGGGCAACAGGTGTCAAGACCCAATTAGAACTGGAGTGCAAGCATAACCCACACAAGGGACATTCCTAGAGCACTCGGCTCAAGAGATTAAGGAGACTACACCTCTGTGTCTCTGAGAACACCCACTACAGGAGGCCACCCTACTAAGCCTGGGAGTCATAGCAATTCTATCTAATACATAGAAACAAATAAAAGTGGGGAAATAAAGAAACAGGCCCCAAATGAAAGAATAGGAGGAATCTTTAGAAAAAGAGCTAAATAAAATGGAGGTAATCAATTTATCAGAAAAAGAGTTCAAAGTAATGTTTTCAAGAATGCTCAACAGGCCGAAGCCAGTTTGGCTCAGTGGTAGAGCGTCGGTCTGTGGACTGAAGGGTCCCAGGTTCGATTCCGGTCAAGGGCATGTACGTTGGTTGCGGGTGCATCCCCAGTAGGGGGTGTGCAGGAGGCAGCTGGTCGATGTTTCTCTCTCATCAACGTTTCTAGCTCTCTAACTCTCTCCCTTCCTCTCTGTAAAAAATCAATAAAATATATTTAGGAAAAAAAAAGAATGATTATCTTAAAAAAAAAAGAAAAAAGAATGCTCAACAGCATGAAAAAGGACATAGAAACCATGAAAAACATCTAGTTGGAAATAAAGAATAGCATATCTGAATTAAAGAATATAGTGGAAGGAATGAGCAGTAGGTTAGATTAAGCAGAGTATGAAATCAGCAAATTAGAAGATAAGATAGAAAAAAAATCAGTCAATCAGAGCAACAAAAAGAAAAAATAATTGATAGCCCTAGATGGCTTGGCTTAGTGAATAGACTGTCAGCCTGCGGAACGAAGGGTTCTGGGTAGACACCTCGGTTGCAGGCTCCTTCCCAGCCTGGGCCCTGGCTGGAGCTCATGCAGGAGGCAACCAGTCTCTCACATCAATGTTTCTCTCTGACTGTCCTTTCCACTTCCACTCTTTCTAAAAATCAATGGAAAAATATCCTCAGGTGAGGATTAAATACTAATAATTCTTTTAAATTGTAAAATAAATAAACAGCATACACATACAGATAGTTTAAGGGAACTTTGGGATAATATGAAAAGTAACAACATCTGTATCATAATGGTACAGAGGGAGGAGAAAGTGAGCAGAGATAGAGAACTTGTTTGAAAAATAATGACAGAAAACTTCTCTAACCAGTGAAGGGAAAAGTCACACATGTTCAGGAATCACAGAGAGCCTCAATCAAGATTAACTCAAAGATACCCACACCAAGACACATCATAGTTAAAATGGCAAAGATTAAAGACAAAGAGAGAATCTTAAAGGCAGCAAGAAGGAGACAGTCAGTTACCTACAAAGGAGCTCCCATAAGGATGTCTGTCAGCTGATTTCTCAACAGAAGCACTACAGGCAAAAGGGAAAGGTATGAAATATTCAAAGTAATGAAAGACAAAGATCTGAAACCAAGACTAATCTATTCAGCAAGGCTATCATTTAAAATTGAAGGTGAAAAAAAATAATAAAATAAAATTGGAGGTGAAATAAAGAGCTTCTCCCCCCCCCCCAAAAAAAAAAAGAAAAAGAAAAAGGCTAAGGTAGTTTTTTTTACCACCAAACCAGAATTATAAGAACTGTTAAAGAGACAGATGTAAGAAGAAGAGAGAAATAGAGATAAAGAGATAGGCATAAAGAATAAAAATGGCAATAAACAAATACCTATCAATAACAACCTTAAATATAAGTGGATTAAATGCCCCAGTCAAAAGTCATAGGGTAGCTGGATGCAAAAGAAAACATAACCCATATATATGCTGTTTACAAGAGACTTACCTCAGAACGGGCTGAAAGTGAAGGGATAGCAAAAAATATTTCATGCAAATGAAAATAAAGGCTGGGTAGCAATACTCATATCTGACAAAATGAACTTTAAAATAAAGGCTATAATAGAGACAAAGTCACTACATATATATAAAAAGCATGAGTTTATATATACATATAAACTTTTGGTGGATTTTAAGGGAAACATTGATAGCAATACAATCATAATAGGGATCTTTAATACCTACTGTCATCACTAGATAGATCTTCCAACAGTCAACTAGGAAACAGCAATCTTAAATGACACACTAGATCAGGTGGATTTAATTGATATTTATAGAAGATTTCATCCCAAAGCTATAGAATATATATTCTTCTCAAGTGCACATGAAACATTCTCAAAGATAGAACATATGTTAGAACACAAAATGGTCTTTACAAGTTCAAGAAGATTGAAATCATATCAAACAGTTTCTTCACCCTAGCTGGTTCTGCTCAGTGGATAGAGCATTGGTCTGTGGACTGAAGAGTCCCAGGTTTGATTTTAGCCAAGAGAACATGCCTGGATTGCAGGGTCAATCCCTAGTAGGGGGATGTTCAGGAGGCAGCCTATCCATGATTCTCTCTCATCATTGATATTTCTATCTCTCTCCCTCCCCCTTCCTTCTAAAATCAATAAAAATATATTTTAAAACACACACCCAGTCACACACACACACCTTCTTGGATCACCATGACATGAAACTAGAAATCAACTATAATAAAAAATTAAAAAACATTCAAACCCATGGGAGGCTAAACAGCATGTTATTAAGCAATGAATGGGTTGCCAATGAGATGAAGGGGGAAATAAAAAACTATGTATTTGAAGAAAGAAATAGAGAAAGATACAAACAAGTGGAAGCATACACCATGTTCATAGATTCAAAGAATTAGCATCATTAAAATGTCCATATACTCATCATTCTATAGATTCAACACAATTCTTATTAAAATACCGATAGCATATTTCATAGATCTAAAACAAATATTCCAAAAATTGATATGGAAACAAAAATTAGCCTCAGAAATCCTAACAAGCACAAAGTTGGAGCAATCACAATACCAGATATCAAACTATATTATAAAGCCATTATAATCAAAACAGCCCGGTACTGCCTTGGCTGGTTTGGCTCAGTGGATGGAGTGTTGCCCTCCAACCAAAGGGTCCCGGGTTCGATTTCAGTCCAGGGCATGAGCCTTGGTTGTAGGCTTGATCCCCAGCCCTGGTTGGGACATGTGCAGAAAACAAGCAATTGATGTGTCTCCCTCACATCAATGTTTTTCTCTGTGTGTGTGTCTCCCCCTCCCTTCCACTCTCTCTGATAAGCAATGAAAAAATATCCTCGGTGAGGATTTAAAACAAACAAACAAATAAAAAAAAAAAACAGCCTGGTACTGGCATATAGGTTAATGGAACAGAATAGAAAACCTAGAGATCAACCCATGTCATTATGGTCAGATAATATTTGACAAAGGAGGCAAGAGCATCAATAGAGCAAAGACAGTCTCTTCAATATATTGTGTTGAGAAAATTGGGCAAGTACATGCAAAAAAAAACACACAAAAAAACACTAGTCCATCAACTTACACTATCGATATATACAAGAATAAACTCAAAATGGATAAGACTTAAATGTAAGCCACAAAGCCATAAAAATCCTGGAAGAAAACATAGGCAGTAAAACATTAGACATCTTATGTAGTGGGTATATTTTTGCAGATAAATCTCCTAGGGCAAGAGAAACAAAGGAAAAAAATAAATAAATGGGACTACATCAAACTAAAAAGCTTCTGCACAGCAGAAGAAACCACCATCAAAATGAAAAAGGAACCCACTATATGGGAGAATATATTTGCCAATGATACACCTGATACATGGTTAATATCCAAAATATATACAGAATGTGTACAATTCAACACCCGGAAGACAAATAATCCAATTAAAAAGGGAACAAAGGATCTGAATAGATATTTCTCCAAAGAGGACATACAGGTAGATGGCCAATATGTATATGAAAAATGCTCAACATCAGTAATCATCAGAGATGCAAATTGAAACTATAATGAGAGATCACTTCATACTAGAGTGGCTACCATCAATAAATCAGCAACCAATGCTGGGGAGGATGTGAAGAGTTATGAACCCTGCTGCGCTGCTGGTGGGAATGCAGGTGGTGCAGCCACTGTGGAGAACAGTATGGAGTTCCCTCAAAAAATTAAAAATGGAACTGCCCTTTGACCCAGTGAATCCACTTCTGGGAATATACTCTAATAATCCCAAAACACCAATCAGAAAGGATATATGCACCCCTATGTTCATAGCAGCATTATTTGCAATAGCCAAGGTCTGAAAACAGCCCAAGTGCCCATCAGTAGCTGAGTAGATAGAAAAGCACAATGGAATACTATGGGACTGTAAAAAAAAGAAGTAACTCTTACCCTTTGCAAAGCATGGATAGACCTGGAGATTATTATGCTAAGTGAAATAAGCCAATCAGCGAAAGATAAATATCACATGATTTCAGCCGAAACCGGTTTGGCTCAGTGGTAGAGCATCGGTCTGCGGACTGAAAGGTCCCAGGTTTGATTCCGGTCAAGGGCATGTACATTGGTTGCGGGCACATCCCCAGTGGGGGGGGTGTAAGAGGCAGCTGGTCGATGTTTCTCTCTCATCGACGTTTCTAGCTCTCTATCTCTCTCCCTTCCTCTCTGTAAAAAATCAATAAAATATATAAAAATATCACATGATTTCACTTATATGTGGAATCTAATGAACAACATAAATTGACTAACAAAATAGGGTAAAATAAATTGAAAAACAAAATAGAATACAAAAATTTTCCGTATTCACTGAAAATTCTGGAACATTGTTCTCTGCAGTTCTATAAAGAAAGATCCAGTTGTAACTGGAAAATGCAAAAGGGCAGAATTAAAGTTAACTCTGTATTTCCTGCTTCTCAAGCAATTAAATTCTCCCCTTTGTCATTGAGTTAATATAACCCCTCCCCCACACACACACACACAAACACTCACATACACACATGTAAGTGAGCATACATTATTGGACAAATATGGGACAAGTTAATATGGGCTCTAAGGAGATAATGAAGTAAAATTAGTAAGAAATTATACTACTGTACTTGGATTTTTAGGAAGCGAGATATTCAACCAGTGAAATAACTGAATGTGACCTATTAATAAATCAGGTGTGATAAGTTAATTTCTAATTCAACAGTTATACACAATAATTACTAAAGTAAGGACCTCGAGCAAAAACAATTCTTCACATTCTAAATGGTGCTCTTGCTCCCTTTGTACTTGTTTTCTCCATGACTGTGTCCACTGCAGGTGCAAAGAGGGATAGCAGATGTGAGGGGTCATTCTGTTTGGGCTTGTCACCTTTCATTTTTTAATATTAGTTGCTATTCTTGGTATCATTTATTTGGGGTGAAGCAACAATACACAAGTAAAGTCTTAGAAGGAGAACGGAATTTGCAAGAAATAAATTTTTCATTACTGCCCTTTATAGGGAGACTTTGCCTCTGGAAGAAGTGGACCTACTATGCACCCATAACTCATAGAAAGGGCTGGCAGGCTTCGCCCATGTGCGACGGCTTTGCCTCGTGTGTTGATAGAAGAGGAACACCTTGTCATACAAATTGTTTGCAGATTTCCACTCCTTCGTGCTTGCATCTGTTTGTAATCCCAGGGTCTGAGCTGCTGCTTCCATCTCACATTCTGAGTTAAATGGGTCTCATCAGAGCCTGCACTGCCCAGGTCAGCAGGCTTGGCTGGGGGAGAGGGGGGCTCGTGGAGAGGAGGGGGGCGGGGCTTCCATCAGGGATGTTCATTTGGCTTTGCTGCAGCTGGTCATCCGAGCCCTTGCAAGGACCTGCTTTACAAGATTTTCAGTTTATTAAAAGAAAAACTTCAAGTGTAGATCCCAAAAATGTTAAAGGATGTTCTTGTTTGCTTCATGGCCTATATTTTTTCCAAAATGTATCTTGTCAAATCTTCAGATGATAGAAGGTTTAATTTAGCAAGTAAAAATGCACAACACCAGGTTAAATTTGCACTTTGGATAAACAGCAAATACTCTTTTAGTGTAAGCATGCCTCCGATTTAACTGGGCATCCAGTATTGTATCTGACAAACCTAGTTGAAGCCAAATCAAGGTTCTAGAATTAGATGGACTGGAATGGTTGGTCACAGTATTCAAGGTGCAAATTAAATATAAATGACATTGAACATTCATATGTGAATTTTTTAGGCCTTATGCTAAGTGAAATAAGCCAGTCAGCGAATTATGGTATTGTGGTCATGTTTTAAAAAGAGTCCTTATATTTCAGAGCAATTTACTGAAACATTGATTGGTGAGATTATGTAATGTTTGGGGTTTGCTTCTAAATAATACAAGAGGCAGATAAGTGATACAAGAGGCACAGTGGCAGTGGGTTGATGGGTACATGAAGGTTAATTACACTCTTGTCTTCTTTTGAATGTGTTTGAAATTTTCCATAGTGTAGGAAACAATGAGTGTGTGTAAGTCATGTCTCTAGGTTTAAAAAATTTATTATTGAAACATCCTAGGTTGTCAGTGGCCCTGGGAGAGGCTGCAGACGGAGCCAGGGAGCCGGAAGCATCCTGGCTGTGGCCGCTTTGTCCCTCCCCGGGGACGGTGGGGGGGTAGCCGTCTTCTTGAGCTTCGGCATTATCTTTCCATAGAGCCCAGGAGAGAGTTGCAAGTCACTCCCCGGCCTCTGGGCTCTGCGGTCGCTCGGTCCGTAGGGAAGGCTCCTGAGGGGACTCGGCTCGGTGGGGACAGAGCTCTATGCTGTGGCCAGCCTTTTGAAAATAAATAGTTGAAACATGAAATGAAATAAACTGTTGCTTTAGGTCAAAATAGCAAACATTACATTTTTCAATTTGTTTGTGGTTTTTACAAAACAAACCTCTTTACCTGATCGGACCGAAGCGCCGTAATTAATAAATAAATCGGTGCAGAGTCTAATGATCCAGCGTGGACCCAGCTTCCAGAGCAGGTGAGCTGCCGGCAGCCGGGGCAGTGACACATCGGCGGACATCTTTCATGGTGTGCTTTTTTCTTATTCCAGGATTTCCTTCAAATGCTGTTGGAGAACATCCCAGAAGAAAAAAGGTGAGCACCAACTTAGGAGTCAAGAGCCTCGTTTTACTTTTAACGTTAAAAACCACCTGCCGTTGTTCGTTTGCTAAACTGAGGAGGTTCCGCCTTCCTCTCTGAATAGAGGCCGGGCCTGGCCCAGCCCGCGGGGGTCCTGGGAGGACCCGCCAAACTTAGCAATGGGCTCGCGTGAATATTGGGAGCCAGTGGCACAGCAGGGGTTCCCCAGTGTTGAAGTGGTACATGAGGCGAGCCAAGGACACGGCGTGGCCTCAGCTGCTGTGGAAAGCGTAGCAGCGAGGACCGTCCTAAAGCCCGGGACTGTGGATAACGTGGCTGGGTACAGGAAACGCTGTCGGTGAAGGTGAGCTGTGGGGAGTAAGAAAAGCCTGGGGGTCGAAGTCGGGCTCTTCAAGGTTCTAACCCAGCTCTGCCCCTTCCCATATGTAACACTGGGAGCAGGTCACCTCCTCCCTCCGAATTCCCGTTTTTCTGCCCTCTCTGGCGGGCTTTCCCAGAGGACCCGAGGGGATAACACGTGAAAAGTAGGTGCTCAGTTAATGATGATGCCGCTAGAACAGTAAAGCTTCTGTGCATCAGGCACTTGCGGGCTCTGCTTACAGGAGAACATTGGCTCCTTATTACAGCACCCGTCTCCTCCTTTTTCTCTTCATCATTATGGTGATTATTTTAAGCCAGTACTTCGTGGGACGTTGCTGTTTGCAGGCGCTCAGTTAAAATCTGAATATTGCTACCCGGGCATTGTGTTTTTATTCCTCTTCTACCGGCCAGAGGCCTGCAGTGCCGAGGGCCCAGTGAGCAGCCAGGGGCACAGCTCCGTGTGGCAGGCGGGCTGCTCCCAGGCGGCCGCTCTGAAACCTCTGCTCTTACCCACAATGCTCCACGTGAGGAAGCAGAGGCTCCCAGTGACTTAAAGATCCCTTAGTGAGCGAGGGGGGAGCTGTTTGCAGTGAGGTCTGTCTGCGCCTCGCCCACGCTCTTGGCAATGCAAGCTCGCTCTGACAGAGGGAGACCTCTTCCTTGGAGGTGCCCCGTTTTCGCCTGGCTGACCTACAGGGGTTCCCGGAGGGTGTAAGGCCCACCGCAAAGTTTGGATAGATTCATCCCAACCCTTTCTTTCTAATTTTCTATCTTAATGTAGGCACTAAAAGCAAATAGCCTGAAACATAATTTCTAAAAGCAAAATTGGTATTCAAACATTAAAGGGGGCATCTTGGGAAATTAACATTTCTTTCAAGAAGAGCCAGTATTACTCTCCTTTCTGACCCCCAGTTTTAGCCATGAATTTATGCTCAGAACTGATTTCCAAATGTGGAGATGAATTCCTTCACACAGACACTGACATGGACCCATGCAAGGCCAGACCCCGCCATGTCACCGCGCCTGCCTGACAGGCAGCCTGATTGGGGTTGTGAGGGTGAGGTGTCAGGACTGAGCCCCCAGGAGATGACATGAAGTTCAGGGAGGATCTGGGGGCCATGAGGGCTTGGAGAGTTCTTCTTCATCCTCTACCGTTGCCTACCTTCAACAGTTAGAAATGTTATTGGTAGGCTTTTTTTTTTTTTTAATCAGATGGAAACTCACACATCACTCAAATTAGTGCATCAAACAGAATTAACATAGCCATATCATTTCTTAATTCCTTCATTTACCTCTTTCTGTTCTTGCCTTTGATGCTGAAGGAAGTCTTATCCAGGGAGATCGTGTGGGCTGCAGTCATTGGCTTTTCCCGGAGACCGCTCGAAGGAGGTGTGGCTTTTTTAGGAAGGTCTGAAATGTTTTGGATTTACCGTCTTTTCTTCTTAAACAGAAATGCGGTTTTCGTCATGCAAAACGGGGTGGTCATTATTCCTAAGGTCAGGAACAATAATTTACCTGCGATATTTTTCTTGTATACCTGGCCTGGATGGAGTGCTTTCCCTACCTACTAACACCGAATGCAACAAGAAAAGAACTGATAGAAGTTGTGTGTTACCTCGTCACCAGAGTCTGTTTCTGAGTAATGACTGTGCATTCTTTCACAGCGGAGTGCCTTGGGGCACAAATATAGTCATTTTCATGGCAGCAACGGAGTGCCTTGTTAGCTTGGGAAGGCTTCTCTCTTTTTGTCCTCTTCCTAATGCGGGTGTGAGTTCACTTGCACGGCCCTGAGCACTGTGGTTCTGGGGTCCTGGATATTGTCGCCGGGCGTATTTATGGAGGAGACACACTGTGGGCCCACAAAGAGGCCTTTGTCATGATGGTGGAAGCTACGAGCAGCATCTCAGGGTGACGGTGGCCAGCGGCACCACCTCCCTCCCCTCTGGGGGGACGCCTCTCCCAGGAAGATCGTGTTCTGGCCAACAGGTTTAAGCTTCTTTTACAAATTCTCCTGAAAAGTTAAGGCAATTTCTTTCCTACAGTGAATGTATTTCAGCAAGTGTCCTGGAATACTTTTTGAAACTCAACCGTCTTTCCTGCTAACTAATCTCAGAATCGAATTCAGCTATTGAAACAGACTGTCTGCCCTTTTACCTGGGCAGCATATTGTACCAATTTTATCTCCTTCTCCCAGTAGATGGAGGCCCCACAGCTGGCCCCAGAGCCCCTCATTGCTGGCCCCACTGCAGGATGGCTCTCGGGCACATCTGTTGGGCACCTGAGCCATTCTGCCGGGCAAGGGTTTTCAGATTGGACCCACCAGTCAGGGCAGAGGGGCTGTCGTGCTTCTTTTGTGTCGTTCTCTTGCTTCAGTTAATTTAACATCTTTGCTGAGCACCTTTTACACTGGTGCTAAGCTGGACTCGGGGGAGCAGAAGGAATAAATCCCATGCCCAGCCCCCAGGGAGCTCCGAGTGGCCTGCTGCAGACATACCGGGAGCAGAGCGCTGGGACTCCGTGCGGGAGGTGCTCTGGAGCTTCCCAGCCCTGGGTGCGCAGAGGAAGGGCTCCTCGGCAGCCCTGGCCTCCAGCCTCCAGGCAGAGAAGCGCCACTGGAGGTTTTAGGTAGGAGGTGCCACCAGCGGATTGGAGAGGTACTCTGGGGTGGGGGCAGCATGGGAGACAGATGGACATGGAAGAACTAGAAGTCAAGAGACCAATTAGAAACCAGTTCAGCAGTTCACTCGAGAGATCTAGAGCTGGAATGAGGGCAGGGATGCTGGCAGTGGCGGCGGCGTAAGGAGCAATCTGAGAGACTCCGGAGAGAAGACTCGGGTGATGGGTTGTGAAGTGGAATGGAGGCATCCAGCACGAAGCTGGCCTTCCCTTCTGGGCACTCTGTCACTCTGAAGTTGCACTGGAAGTTTTGTCTGAGCCGTCCGTGTGGTGCAGAGGGAATGGGAGGCGGTGTTTGGAAGTGGAAGCAGGGAGATGGAGAGTTGTGTTTTAGACACTGTCAGTGAGAGGTTTCTGTTCAAAGGGTGATGTTTAGGAGACCACGGGAAGGAAAGCCGGAAGTGCTTGGAAGGAAATTGGGACAAATCCTGGGCCCTGGCCTGCCTGGCAAAAGCTCGCTGGGGAGCGCCCTGCTACCCATTACTCCTACGGTATCAACAGCAGCCGGTCCTCCTCTGCTCGTCAGTACTGTGCTTGTGTGTGCATGTTCCTGTGTTGGTCCCATTCAGTGCTTTTCCTGCCCCGCGGAGCTGGGCATACTTGTTTTATACATGTTAAGTCAGCAACCTGCATTCTCTACCCCAGCTCAAGCTACTTGTTTTGATCGAGAAAGTAAACAGCTGTGAGTAAAGTTGAGATGTCCACTAGTTGCATTCCAGAATAAGAGCACCTTCCGATTCAGACCCAAGCACTGAGGTCCCAAAGCTTGCCTCCGTCTGGTACCCGAGCTTCCAAGGTCTTGCCGTTCGTCCTTCAGGTCATGTGGAAGCTGGGCCATGTGCTTTCCCTTAAGACGTGGGTAGATCATGTCCTTTAGAATCCCGAGAGGCAGAAGACGGGAGTGAAGAGTGAAATGTCAGTACAGACATTTCTCCGGATCAACAAGACGTTGACAGGAACAAGTAGCAGATGTGGCTGATGCTCCTCCCTCAGAAATCAACTGAAGGAGCAATGCGGCATGTGCCATGCCATTCCCACGCGAGCCTGGGTCTATTTCTTCATACTTTAACTTCACAAAGAGACAAACAATTGCTCACTTTGTGGCTTCCAACCAACATCATGCCAGGTTTTCTGACATATTCTCTCCCCTGCTGCAGTAACCACGTGTGACCACATTCGCAGCTCACAGGGACTGGAGACAGACCCCTGAAATGCAGTCGCCTTCCAGGACATAGAGTCCCGAGAAGGCTGTTCTCCGGCCACTGGGCGGACCCACCTCTGCCGTGCAGGCCCTGAGGCCTCGGTCGGGAGGTGGAGTGCCGTTCACAGGCCCAGATCTGCAAGGCATGCAGCCGAGGGCCTGTGTACTTTTAGCTATGTGTCGGAAATCAATTTCCATAGCGGTCAGACATGCAGAAGAGTAATTTCCTGTAAGTCCTGGGTCCCGGCGAAGTGGAAAAGCTCCTGCTTGTCTGTGGTGATGATTCAAGCCACATGACCTCAGGGAAAAACAGCCCCCAGGGCTGGACTCTGAGTCTCTGGACGAGAAAAGCCGACCTTCGGCTTTACTGCTGCTGTAGATCCTTGTCCAGAACGAAAATCCACCCACTCTGTCACGTCAAATCGTTGGGATCAAAACGCAAAAACTATCTATGTGCTTTATTTTATGTTCCTTAAACACCCTGACTGTTGAGCATTTTCACACTGCCTCTCATCATTTCCTTGTGAGGTACGGCCCCTTAGAGTATCTATAATTTTTCTAGCAGCTGGAGTTCATGCTTTCATCTTCTCCGGGCTTAAGGCCTTGGTCCACATCAGCCGTCCATAGACAGCCGTGGGTGCGGTGTGACATCTGCACGGATGTTGCGAGTCCAGAAACCTGTCTTGTCCGCAGCCTTTTGTCTGGTTGACACTGGCCACTCCTCTCACGCTGGAGTTGCTCCATCTGCTAAAAAGCCACACCCAGCTGACACCCACTTCACAAAGATAATACGAAGAATGAAGTCATAATGGTTAGAAGATGCTTCAGAGCTTCCCAAAGGAAAGTGATCTGAGACTTCCCTCCTGGATGCAGCTGAAAGATGAACTCTCCTGCCCTCACACCTTTGCCCCTCCCAAGAATCTCCCCGTCTCTTCAAAGCTCTAATCCAAGAGCAGGCAAACAGGACACCTTCAACGCAAGATGGAGGGGTCAGCGTTGTTTGGAGCAGGCTTCTCTGCACCGTAAATCAGAAAGTGATGCATCGTGACACCTGGCAATAATACTGGTTTTGCACAGATATTAAATGAGATCTTTTTTTGGTAGTGTATGGAACATAGAAGATGTTCAACAAGCTACTCCTTTTTAAAAATATTTTTTATTTTAAAATTATAGTTGATGTGCAGTGATTAGACATTTATATAACTTACAAAGTGATCACCTCAATAAAACTAGTACTCATTTGACAACGTATATAGCTATTACAATATTATTGACTATATTCCCTATGCTGTACTTTACATTATCATGTCTGTTCTGTAGCTACCAATTTGTACTTCCCAAACTCTTTACCTTTTCATCTATCCTCCAACCCCCTCCCAGCTGGCAACCGTCAAAATGTTCTCTGTATCTATGAATCTGTTTCTGTTCTGCTTGTTTATTTCATTTTGTAGATTCCCCATAAAAGTGAAATCATCTGGCATTTGTCTTTCTCTGTCTGACTTATTTCACTCAGCACATCACCCTCTAAGTGCATCCAAAAAGAAATGAAATCTTGCAGATGACAAGATTTCATTTCTTTTTATAGCTAAACTAGAGGCTCGGTGCACGAAATTCACGTATGAGTCTGTAGGGTGATGTTCCTCAGTCCAGCCTGCACCCTCTCCAACCTGGGACCCCTAGAGGGATGTCCGGGCAGTCGAACATCCCTCTCACAATCTAGGACTGCTGGCTCCCAACTGCTCGCCTGCCTGCCTGCCTTCCTGATTGCCCCTAACCACTTCTGCCTGCCATCCTGATCACCCCCTAACCACTCCCATGCCAGCCTGATTGATGTCTAAAGGTTCCCCTGCCAGCCTGTGTGCCCCCAACTTCCCTCCTCTGCTGCCCTGGTCTCCCCTAACTGCCCTCCCCTGCAGGGTTGATCGCCTCTAACTGCCCTTGCAGGCCTGGTCCCTCTCAACTTTCCTCTTCTGCTGGCCATCTTGTGGTGGCCATCTTGTGTCCACATGGGGGCACCCTGGCGACCCAAGCGGAGGCCCTGGTATCTGGAATTTATTTACCTTCTACAATTGATACTTTGTAGCCTGGAGTGGAGCCAATCCTCCTGCTCGCTCCATGGCTGGCAGCCATTTCTGTTTGGATTTGTTTACCTGCTATAATTGAAACTTTGTAGCCTGGAGTGGAGGCTTAGGCCAGCAAGGGCAGGCGGAAAGCTTGGCTTCCTCTGTTGCCTGGAAAACCCAAGCCTCCCCCCTGCTCTCTGTGGCTGTAGCCATGTTGGTTGGGTCTATTTGCATACTCACTCTGATTGGCTAGTGGGCATGGCTGGTGGGTGTAGCAGATGATGGTTAATTTGCATATTACTCTTTTATTAGGTAGGATGCTATTTCATTGTATATATGCACCATTTCTCTATCCAGTCATCTGTTGATGGGCATAGGTTACTTTCATATCTTGGCTATCTATATAATAAAAGCCTAAGTGACCGTTATGTCAGAACGACCAGTTGCTATGATGTGCACTGACCACCAGGAGGCAGACACTCAACACAGGAGTTAGTGCACTCCCACAAGGAAAGCGCCACTCAGCCAGAAGCTGGGCTCAGCCACAATCACTGCTGGTTTTTACAATCAGAAGTTATGGGGACTTCTCTCCCAGGCATTGGAACCCTGGACTGGAGATGTGTGGAGCAGGGAGCCCTGGCTGCTCAGGGGGACCTCTGCAGCTGAGATTTCCTTCCCAATGTTTAACCATCCCATGTGGGTGTGGGTCCAGCCCATTCCATGTCTCCACCCCTTCTAGTCATATTGATGTGGCTTCTTCTGGATACACTTAGTTGTAGGACACATGCCCGCATACATACGAGTGTGCCACACAAAGGTACACGCATGCACACACACAAGCACATGAGAGTGCACACGTGTCCACACTCTCCCAGCTTACAGAGTGGGCGTGGCCATTCACCCTGAGATGGACGCTGGTAAGTGAGAACAGGAAGCGGGGAAAGGCCCAGGGATGGCGGCCTGGCTTCCCTGCAGTGGTGTGTCCAGGAGCACCACGGAGTCTGGGAACCTGGGCCCGCAGGCTCTGGAAGTGGCCATCTCCCCCAGACTCACTTATGCTCTCCCCTTCCCTGTACTGTTGTCCCACCAATGGGCATCGTCTTGGAAAATGAACCCAAAACACTTCCTCTGTATGGTGTCCCCTCTGTCAGGGCTTCTTCCTTTGCCCTGGCCAGGAGAGAGAAAATGGACGAGTGACACGCTTCTCTCTGGGGAAGAAGAGGAAGGGAAAGTACCGGCCAGCCCCTCCTCCCTCACCCCCACCCCCATTCACCCCAGCCGCTCCTCCCTCCCTCCCTCCCTCCCTCCCTCCCTTTCCCACTGCGATGCCACACCGCCCATGAGGTGAGGGGCGCACTGGGCCTCTAGCACCCATCTTTCCACACAGAGAAAATGTAGCATAGAGCATATAAAATTTAAAAAGATACACATCTTAACAACTTGGGAGCATCTTAGTGGGAAAGGTGATTATTGTCTTTAAAAGGGATGGTTCTTATTGCACCAATAGTGAAACGTGTTTTCATTCATTCAAATAAAAAAATATCAATAGAGAACCTCTTTTATGCCAAGGCCCATTTTGGCGCTGGGTTTGCGAAGTGAGTGAAACAGGCGTGGACCCTGGTCTCCGAGAGTTCGGTGCAGCGAGGAGCCGGGGAGGAGTCACCAATCAAACAAACCGATGATGCCGCGGTCACCTCGGAGCTGTGGCACCCAGCACGGGGCCGCGTCTGAGCGGGGACACCGACTGCAGGAGCGGAATTGCTTACGCCTTCAGGGAGACACAAGCTAAAGCCCATTGGCCCTAAATATACTAGTATCCTGGTTACTCAGCGCGTTTAGGGAGGACTCAAGTCAGTGGGCGTGAAACCAGAAGGATTTCCGCTGACTCTGCCGAGCGGGGCCTCTCAGGGCTGCTCGCGGCCGAGGCGGAGGCGGCGGAGGCGGCGGAGGCGGCCCTGCGCCCTCCTGCGCTCGCGGTGGTCATGCTCGTGTCCCTGTGAAGTCCCAGGTTCACGTGGACGCACCCGGGCCGCAGGGCTCAGGCCTCACGTGGCCCTCTTAGGAAGTGGCCGGGCCTGATGTGTCTGAAGTGCCCGGTCCCCGCCCTGGCGCCCAGGCTGGCTGCTGGCGTCCAGGCCCATCCTCCGCTGCGGCCACGTGGAGGGGGCGGCGGCGGCGGCTCCTGCTGGGAGAACCGGCTCCCCTGACCGCCCTGCTGTCCTGTGCCCCAATGTTTGCCACATGTGTCAAACACAAGGCCCGCGGGCCAAATCCGTCCCGCCAGGCCTTGCAATGTGGCCCGCACCGCGCTGTCATCACTGCACTCCGCTGCGTTTCCATCACAATGACAGTTTATGACTGTTCAGTAAACCATTCGGCCCGCGATTTAGGCTGGATTTTAGATTTTGGCCCCTTCTCTGATTGAGTTCGACACCCCTAGTTTAGACCCTCTGTCCTCCGCGCTCTGTAACGTCTAACCCTTGGCCTCTTGTTTTCTGTCTGTAAAGGCTGGGTTTGTCTGTGGAAAGCATCTTCCGAGACTGGCTGGAGCGCCCGGGACTGCCACAGGTGAGCCCACCGGTCCCCAGGGAGGAGCGCAGGGGGTGCTTGCTGATAGAAACGGGGAAGAATCCTCACCCCCAGGCCAGGCGGAGGCCCCCCTCCCTGAGTCAGGGAGGCGATGGCCCCCGGCCTCTGCCCGGGTGACACTGCCAGGAGGATACTGCCCGCCCTGGCCGAGAGGGATGGGAGCGCCTGCGACATGTGGTGTGGATTTGGGGTGCGGTGTGGATTTGGGGTGCCGTGTGGATTTGGGGTGCCGTGTGGATTTGGGGTGCCGTGTGGATTTGGGGTGCGATGGCGGCACCAGGGTGGGTTTGCAGCGGGGACTCCCGCTCTGTTCTTTGGATGTGGCCAGTGAGCCGCCCGCCCACAGCTTCCTCTGACCTGCTCCCAGTAGCTTCTCTATCATGATCTCTGCCCCTCCGCTCCCTCCTCCAGCTCTGCATCCCTTCCTCAGGCTGGCTCCGCATCCCAAGGACGGCAAGATGCATTTCTGCCTTAGACACTGGGACCTGCCCCTATGAACTCCCTGCTGTTCACAGGGACAGGTCCCAGCTGCCCCGCACCAGCCAGGCGAGTCCCAGGGGGGCATCTGGGTGGGCTGGCCGGAGGCCCCTGCAGGCCTGGAGCTCTGCCACCGGCTGCCCACCACGGCACCCCCCCCCTGCACGCCCCGCCCCCGGGGGGGAAGTGGACCCCCGCGGCGGAGAGAACCCTCCCTGGACCCGTTAGCCCCATTAGCTGCTCGTTTCTGGTTTCATGGCTGGTATGTGAGCTTCCCTCTGGGAGTGTCTGAATGTCAATGGATGTCTGTGAACCATGAAATTAAGGAGCGGGAGGGGGTGTTCTCCATTACCTCTCCACCCTCTCCTCACATCTCGGTGCTGCCCCACCACAGGGGAATGCCGGATTGTCCCCACCAGCCACCGGGAACTCATGCCTAGCAAAGCCGCATCGCCTGGGGCCACCTGTTAGAAATTGTTTGTTTGGCCCAATCCTTCTGGAATCAAAAGGAGATTAAAACCCTGAGTCCTTAAAAGGCTAAACAAAGCAGGGGCCGGTAAGGCAGCACCTGGCCCTGGGAGGGCAGTGCTTCCAGCTCTCCTGGTGTGAGGAGCCTCTGACTTCTGAGAAGCTCAGGGAAACAGGGTGAGGCCACCGGACCCTAAAAAGCCAAACTCACCCTTGTTTTAGCGGTGGGGGCGGGGCATCCCCTGAAGCACTGCCTGGTGTGCCAGTGCAGCTGGTGCCAGGGTCCCGGACGTGCTCAGAGAGCAGACCCCCAAACCTCCCGGATCCAAATAAGTCCCAGAGGTCAGTCCCCAGGGAAGAGGCCTTACCCGGGGCCCCAGCCTCGGTCTCTGGGGGCTGCCCTTCCCTGTCAGGAGGCTCCTTATTTCCCCCAAGAGGCCGAGGCCTGCCGCCAGCGGGAGGTTTTGCTTTTCATTGAAAGGGGGAAGGGCACCTGGAGGGGAGAGATTAGCCTCTGAGCCCCAGGTTCCTCCCGAAGGTCTAGGTGCATTAGTGAAAGCTTATTGTGCAGACAAGCATCTCTGCTGTCAAAACACAGCCAGGTGCAAGGAGGCCAGCCCCGCTATAAATTGTCTTTAAGACCCAACTGGTATTTCCTTGGGTGCTTAACTGTTCAGTGAAAACAATAGCGGCAGAAAGGGCCCTGAGTTAGAGCACATCTCCCCCTCGAATGACCGGACGGCGCCTTTTCATCCCTGCCATTCCGGCCGCACTTACAAGGTTCGTGGTGATGACCTCCCGCCTCCTCGGGAGTTCCTTCTCCTTTCCGCTCCGGGGGAAGGCGCTGCAGGCGGGGCCCTCTGCCTGCAGGGCCCGGGGTGAATGGGACACCTTGTTCTTTGTCTCCGTCACTGTGATATAAAGTTACGGTGTCTGGACCTGGAACGCCAACCGGAGCCCTGAAATCACTCTGCTGCTCTTTGTTCTCATTAAACATTCCTGTCCCCCAGCAACCAAAGCCACTCGCGACAAAAGAGGCTGTTCCACTGGTGAAGTTTTCATTCCGAGGGTTACAGTGGCTTTTTGTCTTCCCCGGGAAGGTGTGTCTTGTGGTTGACCTTGATTTTCCTTTTTGGCCACATTGAATGGAAATCATTTTTAAAATGTGGAAATAGCTTCACCAGCAATAAAAGTAAGCATGAGCCCCAAGGAAGTAAAAGAAATTGGATCCACACCTCCTTAAAGAACACCCAACCCATAACCTTTGGGTTTGCAAACAGATCAAAATTGGTTCTACCATTGGTATTACAGATTATTTCCTTTCATGGCTTTGTTTCCCCTGATTGTACAATAGAAGTATTACATATATGTTTTGGAATATAAAGAGTTTGTAATAAAATAAAAATGGCCCAGAGATAGTTTTTAAAATTAATCCTTTCAGTCCTTTTCCAAGATGAATATGATGAATCAATATATTTTATTGATTTTTTTACAGAGAGGAAGGGAGAGGAATAGAGAGCTAGAAACATCGATGAGAGAGAATCACCAACCAGCTGCCTCTTGCACACCCCCTCTGGGGATGTGCCCACAACCAATGTATATGCTCTTGACCAGAATCAAACCTGGGACCTTTCAGTCCGAAGACCGATGGTCTATCCACTGAGCCAAACCAGTTTCGGCTGTCTCCCTTTTTAAAAATAAAAATAATATCTCCTCTGTAGCAAGTTCAAGCTGGAGCAAAATAGATAGCATCAAAGGCCTGGCCCTTCAGCCGCACCCACCAGAGGAATCCATGCTGAGCGCAGTTCGCATCTTCCTGCCTCGTGTGTCTGTGTCAGGACCGTACAGCATGGAGGTGCATATTCTTTTAAAATAAAATTGGAAGTCTTCACTTAAAAATACACCTGAATCAAGTGGTGTAGGGAAAATTGGACATGTATCTGTTCAGTTTTGGACCACATTCTGCTACCACATACAAAAATAAACTCATTTAAATCAGTTTAAATGTAAGGAGATTTAAATGTAAGTCCTGAAACCATAAAACTCCCAGAAGAAAAAAATAGGGAGTGAATTCTTCAACATTATTCCTGGCAATAACTTTTGGGATACTGATCTTTGGGCAAGGGCAACAAAAGAAAATAATAAACAAATGGGACTACATCAAACTAAAGAGTTTTTGTACAGGAAAGGAAACCATTAAAAAAATGTAAACACAACCCACTGAATGGGTGAAGATATTTGCCAATGATCGGTAAGGGGTTAATATCCAAAATATATGAGGAATTTATACAACTTAACACTAATAAAAGCCCAATCCAATTAAAAAATGGGCAGAGGACTTGAATACACACTTCTTTAAAGAGAACATACAGATGGCCATCAGACAAATGAAAAGATGCTCACTGTCACTAATCATGAGGGAAATGCTAATTAAAACCACAATGAGGTATCATCTCACACCTGTCAGAATGGCTGTCATCAATAAATCAACAAATAGCAAGTGCTGGCGAGAATGTGGAGAAAAAAGGGAACCCTTGTGCACTGTTGGTGGATTGTAAATTGTTGCAGCCACTGTAGAAAGCAGTATGGAAGTTTCTCAAACTATTAAAAATAAAGCTGCCATTTGATATAGCAATTCCACTTTGGGATATTATCCAAAGGAAACATAAACACTAAATTTAAAACATAAGAAAAACCTCTATGTCCATCACAACATTATTTACAGTAGTCAAGATATGGCAGCAACCTAAGTGTCCATCAATAGATGAATGGATAAAGATATAGTGTATAGGCAATGGGATATTAACTCAGCCATAAAATAGAATGAAGTCTTGCCATTTTTGACCACATGGATGGACATAGAGGGTATTGTGCTATAAAATAAGTCAGAAAGACAAATGCCACATGATTTCACTTATATGTGGAATCTAAAAAAACAAAGCAAATGAATAAACAAATAAAACAGAAACAGACTCACAGAGAACTAACTGGTGGTTGCCAAGGAGGAACAGGGGGAAGATTTAGAAAATGAACCATGTGTGACCTTAAAAAAGAGCAATTACTAGATTTTTAAAATGTAACAGGAAAAAAACAATTTCCTGTACTTGTGTTGTCATAATTATTTCACAAGATATTGGATTTTATTCCATTGTGCTCTGGGTTGTGATGAGAGTTGTATTTGCCTGATTACCCAGAATGCTAACGAGCTGGAGAATAAAACTATCTTCCATACCTTGCCCATTTTAGAAGCGGGAAGTTACATCACTTTACTTTGTATTAAAAAAAAAAAAAAAAAAAAAGGATTCTCACATTTAATATTCTACAATAAATAGTCACCCACAAAAGCATACCTTAAGGAACACAAAGAACATTAAGAGGTGAACGTTTGTGTGCTGTGAGGTTTCCATTCCGGTCAGTGGGGTTTGATACTGAGTCCCGGAGCTTCACCAGCCCTGCTCTGTGCTCCTAAGGACTACCCTGTTTTCCCGAAAATAAGACATTGTCTTATATTAATTTTTGCTTCCAAAGATGCACTAGGTCTTATTTTCAGGGGATGTCTTATTTTTCCATGAAGAAGAATATGGTACACATTTATTGTTAAATGAAAATAAAGGAAATTTAGCCGAGATCGGTTTGGCTCAATGGATAGAGCGTCGGCTTGGGGACTGAAGGGACCCGGGTTCGATTCCGGTCAAGGGCATGTACCTTGGTTGCAGGCATATCCCCAGTAGGGGGTGTGCAAGAGGCAGCTGATCGATGACTCTCTCTCATCGATGTTTCTAACTCTCTATCTCTCTCCCTTCCTCTCTGTACAAAATCAATAAAATATATTAAAAAAAAAGAAAGAAAATAAAGGAAATTTACCTGTATACAGTACGGTAGTACGGTAGTTGTCAACACAAACCAGACAAACTGTGAATCCTACAGTATCAAGAATTTACTCATTTATTCAATGACAATCTATTAACATCTTCTGGAACATCATCATAACAATCCAATTCCTGAATTTCCTGGTGAATTTCTTGTGACTCCAT